AGCATCTGATGTAGTATTGAACACATATTGTATCCAGCACAGGCATACTAAGCATATATCAGTATTCAAATATTATATAGTCTACAAAAAGTTGTTGAAGTCAGATCCAATAACCTGTGCTAATTTCTAGGTTCTGGGTTGATCCAGAAGAGAAACATGATAATAGGCTTGGGATAGGAGGAACATCTAGGGTGTTTCAAGGGAGGTTTTATTGGCTTATTCAGGACTAATTGGCTCAGGCAACTCTCCCAAGGCAAAGGCATTACTGCAATGATTGGGGTTCATGGCAGTGTTGAATGCTCATCATGTGGAGGTGGAAAGATATAGTCAGGCATTAATAACTTGGCTCAGAGATGGAAGAACCATGGAGGTTCATTTTGAACCAAGAGTTTGTGGAGATGTTTAAGAAAAGCAATCACTGGGGAGTGTAAATGAAACAAACCAAGAGATATTAGAAAATAAAGAGAATATGGACTGCATTCTTACTGATCATGGACTTCATTCTTAGGGAAATTCAAAGGTGTGTGCCATGGACTTCATTCTTAGGGAGCGGTACATAATTTCAGCTCATTCCCCACAAAGAAAACAGGTGGTCTTTGACTAGAAACCACTGGAAAATGACTGGATAAAGCTTGACTTTCATGGATGTTTGGTAGGCAATCCAGGGTCATCAGATATGCTAGGTGTACAGTGTACCAGTGATTGTTTTGAAGCCACTGTTATGAGTTACTTGGAACCAATTGGGGGAGGGAACTAAACTCCAATCATTACTGCAAGGTCTCAAACTTGGTTTTGCTGCAGTAGAAGAATAACTTAGAAATTTAGGGGGTTATAGAATTGTCATTAGATGGTTGGTAACTTAATTAATTGTGATGGTACTTGGATCCTAAGGCATTAATTGGGAGAATTAAGAGCTTTAGCTTATAGCCTGAATTGCTCATTCAGGTGGATCTCAAGAATAGCAAATTAGATTGCTAACAGACTTGAAAGGGAAAGGAGTGGGTAAACCACACTTGATAGAGGAAATCTAGTCCTGGGATTTAAAGCCTAGGAAAGAGGTTCAAATTGGAAAGAAATTGGGGTTCTTTTTAAGAGGTGAAAAATGAGCAAAAAAATAATTTTGGAATTAGAAGAAAGAAATAAAGGCAGAGTTTAATCGATATATTTTGCTGGAGATGCTTTAAGTGATTTACAGGTTTGAGAGTATGGAAGCTTTGAAGCTTCCAGAGGAGTGTGTGGTTTGCTATTAAAGATGTGGAATTTTTTAATGGAGGGACTTTGGAAATGAAGGTTGTGGAAAAACAATAGAGTTAGAACAATGAAGTGAACTTATTGTGAGAAAAATGTTGGATCATGGTCTAAGTTTTCTTCTTTGTGTAATTTGCTTCAGAAGTAGAAACTGTAATGACTGTTGAGACAATTAGTTGAATAGTGCTCTTGGGTTATGTTGGAATTCTGTTTTAACCGGGGTGTGGTTGAAAGTGTCTCCTATTTTTCTCTCTCACAGATGATTTCTTATTTTAATGAATTTACTTTATTATGTAAAAATTGTTGTATTTTTCTATGGGTCATAACTTGTTATAGCATCCTTTGTTCTTAAACTTTTCAAAGGCAGTTGTCTCCTTTATGCTCATTGTTGGTAAAATCTCTTTGACTGTATTTTTTTATTATTATTGGTAAATCTCTTTGATCATGTTGCTGATTAAAAAAGGCCTGCATAGGTTCAGACACCGGGAGACACTAGATCTCTGATTTCTAATGTGAACATCTCATTCAAGTGGTTCCAGAGACCAACAAACTCATTAGGTCATTTAGTGTTAGATAATTGTACTTTTGTACTCTTTTAGCTTTGCTGGTTACAAAAGCTCTTTGCTCTCTTGTCTTGTCTTCTAATTTTGTTAATGATTGGGGGGGGGGGGGCGTTAACAAGTTACCATGTAACTTGTTCATTCCTCCCTCCCAAGACCCAACACAAACCCTTTGTGTGGGTAGACCTCAACAAGTTACCATCAATAACTAGGATTGGTAAAAAATATAGAATAAAACAAAGTCAGAAAACTGTCCCTCCGTACTCCTTTTTGAGAGAAAGGTAATGTATTAAAAGAAGATAGAACAAAATATACAAGGCCCTGATCAAAAAGAATTCAAAACAGGGAAAAATACTCAGAAGCTAATTACACTGCAGATCTAGATAGAAAAAGATTCCTAGAATCAAAGAAAGAGTTGAAAGATAAATCCATTAGCTGTCTGTGAACTGCAGCCCATGAGTAGATTCTGCCCCACAAGCCTTTTAAAATTGTATCCACCGTGTATTGTGTTTATTTTCAAACATTCTCCTATTTCTCTCCGTACAAAAAGACCAAATCACTTCTGCCAGAATGACTTCCCACAAGACTTTCCCTTTCTTTACAGACCCTTTAACTGCCAGTTCCAAAAAAGAGATTTCAGGTCTTCGGGGAAATAGAAACTAACATCAAACAGCCCCAAAGCTTTCTCCCAAACCATTCTTGCAAGCTTGCAGTGGAAGAATACATGTTCTGCATCACTCCAGAAATACATAAATCTTACATATAAACAGCATATCTTGATTTAGACTCCAATTACCACTGAAATTATTTTCTGATCTTACTCATTTTTTTATGAGACAGAAAAGGACAAAGACAAGGAAATGTAGCCCAATGGAAAAGCACCCCCAAAAAGATTTACATTCTACCTCATTCCCAAGTCTCTTAAAACCGATGCTGCAACAGGAAAACAACAGAACTATAGAGAATCAAATGCAAAAATGTAAAAAATATTAAGCATAATATTAATTAAAATATAAACTAAAATTAAAAAAAATGTTTAAAAAACTATTATCTCAAATTAAAATACATCAACATAACATGTAAAACATATTTAAAATGAAATTTTAAAAATAAAATCAAGCATAACACATAAAATATATTCAAGCATGTAAAACTCCCAAACTCTCGATCTCTTCATCTGTAACCTGTTTCACCCTTTCAATACAACTCCCTCTATTTTCAACTTTTCCCAGCCACCTAAACATCAGAAAATTCCTCTCCTCCAAAAAGGATAAACCAAGCTTTTTTTTTTTTGATAAGTGGACAAACAAGCACTTTCTACCTGCTTTTCTCTGGCCACTGCCTGATGCAAAGGAAAACCTTGTCCACCATGGTCTTGCTTATTCACTTGTACAATAGCAACAGAGGAGTTAAATCACTAGATCTTATAGTTGCCATTCTTTCTTTTCATCGGTAACGGTTTCTGTTTACACTTATTGCTAACCCATCTATTAGTCCTTAGCAAACTTTGGAATCTATTATAATTTATTCTCAACTTCACAGACAGCTTCTCGGCCTCCCTCATATAGATCTCTATAGTTATCATTCTGTTGCACTACCTAAAAACTCTTGATGGAAATTAACTAAATTAGTTAAGTGAAATCTATATTTATCTTGAATAATTTTAACATTTGATGAAGTATGACAGTTCATTTATACATCCATATTACTTGGTAAGATTATGAACATGAGGATACAACAAAGTACTTTTTAATTTATGTAGTCAGAACAAACATCAAATATTGTGCAGATTGAGTAGAAAACTAAGTAACAGGAGGCCTACCAGAAGCAAGCATGTAATCCTCAGGAATAAACTGGTCATAAGATCGTGCTAAGCAAAAATTATTGCTTCATCCAGTTTTAAAGCAATATTCAGTCAGGAAATAGGCAGGTGAAGAAATTAAGGGGTTTTTATTGTTAAAATAAATTTTATAAAAGAAACAACTGGTTAAAGGATCCAAATAGACATTATAATGTGTCAATACATGTAATATTCATATGACCTCACTGCACTTACAAAAGTTAGCACTATATCTATCTCAGAAAGAGGTTAGAATTGGATGAACAATACCACTAGATACCTCCACTGAAGCATTATAAAGAACGCCATTACCCAATGTTAGTCCCAGTTATATAGGTCTTGGGAGGGGTGGACTGGATATGGACCTAACCTTTGGCACAGAGAGGTCATGTTTCATGTTATTGTGCATACAGCAATAACCATGACATATAAGGATATCTTCCTCCTGATGCGTATGCTCAGGTTTCTCATTTATATTTATTAAACAGTTGAGTATGTAATAAATACCATTCTTCATTCATCAAAAAATAAATAAATACCATTCTTCCCAGGAGTGTTTTAAAAGCGCAAGGCACAGGGGCCAATTTGCGCCTGAGGTGCAAGGCGCAAGGTGAGGCGTGCACCTTTTTGAAGCAAGGCGCAAAAAAATGCTAAAAATGAAAAAAAAAAGTCAGAAAATTCAAAAAAATCAAAAAATATTAAACATAATATTAATAAAAAATATAAACGTAAATTTTAAAATAAATGTTTTAAAAAACCTATTATCTAAAATTAAAATACATAAACATAACATGTAAAGCATATTCAAATGAAAATTTAAAAATAAAATCAAACATATAAAACATTTTCAAGCATGTAAAACCCACAATCTCTTTTTTTCCTCAATTGCATTACTTCATGTAGCTAATGTGATGTAAAATACATTACATTCCTGATTCTACAAGCCTCCTTAAATTCTTAGTTCTCACACAAAAAATAATGATATTATAATTTTAATTGCTTTTTAAGAAGATATTTTATTAGGATGAATGAATGAACAACATTAGCAAATAGGGGATTCTTGGAGCAGAAAAGCGTGAATAGGATGAATGAATGAACAACATTAGCAAATAGAGGGTTCTTGGAGCAGAAAAGCGTGAAATTTTCAAAAGGCGCATGCCTGGGCTGAGGCACAAGGCACATCAAGCACACTTTTGATGTGCATACCCTAAAATGTGCCTCACCTGTGCGCCTAGGCGTGCCTTTTGAATCACTGCTTCCCAGTGATAAGATGTAACCAGCACTGATGACTTAGTTTACCAGCACATTTGTTGGGACCAGATTTTGTCAAGTAAAAGCCCAAATAATCATACCTAGGCATATTGGGCATTGCACTTCTTTGCGCACATCTGATAACCTTACTAAAACAAATCTGCAAACAAAGACCAAGAAACAAATCGCAATTAGATTATAGATAAAAACTTTCTTCAATGCATGCTAATAAACATGTTTAGGGGTTGATTAATTGAAAAGCACATGAATCCTTGCCAGAAATATGAAGCTTGTACTTTTTTAGCTACAGCAATAGAAGAAGACCAAGAAAAGTCAAAGGTCTTTCCTTATATTCAGTCCTCACCATTTTTCCTTGCAGCTAAAAGAAAGTTCAATAGAAAAGGAGAAGAGATACAAAGATCGTAACAAACAACAAAGAAAGTACCCAGGAAACCCATCACACCAGAAGGAAGACAGCTCTATACAAATCCTATCTCAGCCCACTCAATTTTCTGTAATTTCACAAACATCCATAATCAAATACACACTGTGTATGATAATACTGGTCATGTACACCACAGGCCGACAGATGAAGTGACAGGAAACTGCAATGGTGCAGGTTAAAAACACTAACAAGGACAAGCCAAGCCAAAAGAAAAAATGCATTTGGGAAACTAAGCAATCCTGCTAGTAACAGCACCTATAATGTAATAGTGGAGTAGAATCAATACAGACATCCTCAAAAAAGTTGGGGTAAGGCTTGTTTGATGAAGAAGAGTCAATGTGGTGGATTAAACGATTTACCTACAAAATTAAGATGTTAAAATAGCAATATCTTCTCTAACATAAATTAAACAAAGGTTGACTTTTGTTGTATCTCACACATCCTAGCAAGATGGTCAGTATAATAGTGGAGCAGAAGTAATGCAGCTAACCCTGAAGGTTGGGATAAGGATTACATGATGATGTAACAGAGATAGGCTATTAGTTATATGTCAATTGACTAACACAATACGATGTTAAATACCTATGTCTTGTCAAATGTAAACTAAACTAAGAATCTATCTTTTTGTTCTACTCCATGCATTCTAACAAGACAGTAATTAGAATATACATATCTTTTTACATATGGATCAACTTAATGAATACAACACATGCAACAATGTGGCTAAGAGTCTAAGACCACCATTCAGCATGGACAACAGATTCCCAGAATCTTTTGAATAGGCACTTGATATTTAATACATATTTCCCTCTGTATGGCTTTATTTGTTTATTTTTTGAGAAGTAAATTATCAATTCACTAAGAAAATAAAATGTGTACAATCAGAGGCTGTACAAAGGAAAGTATCAAAGTACAAAAATCATTCAGACCACTATCCCATTGGGAATTACAAACAGACTTCCAAATCAAAAAAGAGAATTATAGAAAGAACTGTCAACAGTTAACTTTGCTAAAGAACCTTTGTTTTAAAGCATCCTTGAGTTTCTTTCTTGCCATATCGACCAGAAGACTGCACCTGGAATCAATTGCCATAAAGTTTTCCCTTTCTTACTTAAGCCATGTATCCACCACCCTTTCACAAAAGCCACCACTGATGCCAGGCAGCTACTTCTGAATGCAAAGATCCTAAAAGCCCTCTGCATAGCTTTTTAGTAATGAACAACAACGCATCTACTGAGGATTTTGTATGGGCCTCAAATACCAGTTCAGAAATATGAAAAACTAAAATCCAAAAGCAGTGAACTTAGTTCTCAAACTGGAATAAGCACCTTATAATTGATAAGCATGCATACAAACTATTAAAGAACAGAATTAAAATATTTGATCTCTTGATATAGTCCAGATTAGGAGACTAATTGAAGAGAGCAATATTCTAAAGATGAAAAACTGATTACAGATGTTGGAAGTTGAATAAAAAAGCTGCATCTTATTGCATCATATACTTATACACATGGAAATGTCTAATCAAGTGAGCAAGGATCAAAATCTTGGTACAATAAGTTGGTTTGTCAAGTCAACTACATTCAGCCAATTCCCCCGTTATTGAATTTCTCTATATTTTCAAAAAAAAAAAAGAGAAAAATATTTATGCACACGCATATATACACAAACAAGCTCATAGCATGATACGCACTCACACTTCAATTAAACAGGCAAAAAGGAAAAGAACAAAGAATTCCCCACAATTTCCTCAAACTACCATAATTCAGTCCACACAAGATCCACCATAACAGACTGGCTGATGTGTGAACAATTTAACGAGAACGATGATGAACTTGCAGGGCATCTCTTTATAGAACGCATTAGAACATGGGCCCTAAACAAATATTGCTAAATTACAAGGATGGCACACTCTATGTGGGTCATTCCGTCGCGGCTAGAGTAATGCATAACTAACCTCCGACTTGACTTGGTTCGAACATGGAGCTCTATGGATCGACAAACAGCAATGCAAATACAAGTTTGAATAGAACAGAGAAAAAGGGGAGCAGCAACATACAGACTCAGCTACGCCAAAAAGAAACTCGAATTGGAAGTATCGGACCTACCAAATATAGATAGATCGTTCATGCAACCGAACCAAAGACTCGCGACGTCGAAAGGACATCATCATCGACGATATCCAAATACAAAAGAAAACACCACCCACATTCAGGGAGAAATGCTATCTTCCCATAACAGAGGAGATAGAAAAAAACCCAAGTCAAAGGAGCCACGAAAGGCTGGTAAGAAAAGCTAAAGACGATAAGTAAAATAGTAACACATTGAGATCCCCTTACACACCCCCACCCCATACAACACACCAACTATAATATTGCGCACAAGGGAGACGAAAGGGTGACAGAGGTACAAGGGAAAGAGGAAATGAGATAACGTACTCGTCTTTATCTCCGCCACTGGACGAAGGGCTTCCATCGAAATCTGAGAAATGGCAAATACACGGAACGATCATGAACCGGAAAACCCAATTTCAATTTCTGTGTAGAAACAAATAACAAGTGAAAGCAGGTTATTTTAACATGAGATGAGAATGGAATACGTACCCTCTTCTCCATCATCGTCTTCGTCCACTCCTTCTTCCCTGTGTGACTGGTTTTGGTGGTGGTTTTGCTGTTGATAGTGGTGGCGCTGTTGGGATTCCTCCTCTAGATTCTCCGAAGAACGTTTCTGCGCAGGCATTGCGTCTTCCCGTAAAGAGGATTACATAAAAAAGCACACGAAAATAGAGAAACTCTTCTTCTGAGCTCCCTCGTTGGTGGTGCTTTGTTTGCAACTCTCTACTGCATGTTCATGGCTTCGCTTTTGCAGGAGGTAAGACAAGAAGAAGTGAGAAACGCCGATGGAGAGAGAGGGGTAAGGGGCGTGACCGGCTGACCGCTTGAGCAAGCTCGTCTCGCTGGAGCGATCTCGCCGGAATTATCAATATATTACGGCGACAAAGCACATGCACCAAAAAATTTCTCTTCTCTCATGCCCTTCGCTGGCTGGGGGGGTAAGAATTTCTGTGATGGGGGTCTTTTAGTAAATTTAACACGACTTGCGTCTACAGATTAGAATCATTTTAGATCGGTCGCCGGCGGACTTGTCCTGAGCTCCTTTTTTCAATTTATTATTATTATACGTGGATAAGAATTAAGAAATTTCATATCCGTATCTGTCAATTTTTGAAAAGGATAAGGGTAGAAGTGGTATTACAGTTTTGGATGGCACACGCTTTGCACGTGACCCTAGGTTCCCAGTTGTACACGTGGTCGCTGTTTGAGTGTAGTCGGGTTAGTGCGAGGCTGTGAGCTCGTCCGAGTAGCAACTGCTTTTGCTTAATGCTTATGTTCGGCTGCTCTCCTTGCTTCGTTGCTTGTCATCATTGGTCCCGTTCAAATGTTCAATCATTTCTCTACTTACTTATGTGAAGTTGTGAACTACCCTCAGTGGACCCAAACAACCCTCCTGAAAATGTGAAAATTAGGACTTAGGAGCAAAACCAAAGTGGGCTTTGGGCCCATACCGTTTTTGTCCCGTTACCCCTCCCTCTTTTGTGTGGAAAGTTGGCCCAATAATATTACACCCATCAAAATGGAAAATCCTCAAGAAGTTTCAGGGGTTATCGTTATGTGATAATTCAGCTAAAGTAGACAATGAAATAGTATCAACAAAGATAATCCAAAAGCTGAATCATCTGAATCTACGATTGAAACACCAGGTGTTTAGGTTGAGTTAGTAGAGAGATGAACATAAAAATGTGGGGTCGAAAAACAGACTGGCCTGGGACCTGGGTTGAGGCCCATCTGGAGTCTTAATCAGCTCATCACTTGGGTTGCCTGCCTACATTGGATTTCGTCTCATCTATATTCTCTTCTTCTCTTTGTTATTTCATTTTCTTATATCTATTGGATCTTGTGCTTTGGATTGTGGCTTGTGGGAAAGGAAAATGCACAAAAAAAGTGCTTTAAAAAAGCATAGATATAAAGCTTAAATACTTTTATGCCCCCTAAGGTACCAACCCAACCCAACATTATATTAAGTAAAATACATGAAGTTCAAGTTAGGCCAAGTTGACTAAGGTACCAACCCAACATTATATTATAATAAATTGAGGTACATTATGATGATGTGCAATCCGATCGGTCCTATCTGCTGGTTACCTCGCCTCTGATGAAATTGGAGGTGCCTGAAACAAGGAAGAAAATGGAGACTTTCGGGGAGGAACCCGGTTGGAACACTCCGAAGCTCAAGTTAATGCTCTTGAGAAGGCAAGGGAAATGAGAAACTTCAAGACCAGAAAGCATAGAAATCACATACCTCATTCTTTGGGAGATGGGGGCCTTTTATAATCACTTGTACACTCACTCCCATACCTCTGCCAGATCGGGTATCATTACCTCCACCAAATCGGGTGTCATCATCTCTGCCAGACGCTAGTTTGGGTGTCATATCCTCTGTCAGTCGCCAGTTCGGGTGTCATTATCTCTTTCAGACGCCAGTTCAGATGTCATAACCTCTGCCAGTTGCCAGTTCGGGTGTCATAACCGCCACTGTCTTCCTTGTTAGGGTCGTCTCTGCCACGTCTGAGATGGCGGTGACAGGTGGCCGTTGGAGGGCGGCTGCCATGTGTCGGACCCCTGATCAGTCAGGCACGCCACCCCCGTGTACGGGCTTCCTTGGCATCAGGTACGGTTGTTCAGTTAGGCGACTTGGAGCCGAAGTGGTGCGCGAGGTGAAGTCTTGAGTTCGGATAGAAGTGTGGCACGAACTGCCCCGGGGTGGGTCAGCTCGGGTTTATGACCTTTGCGCTCCTTGTAAGGCTCAGGACCTCTAAGGGAGAGCTCGGGTTCTTCCTTGGGGAGCTCGGGTTGCAGGTCCCTTTTTTGGGGGAGCTCGGGACTCCTCTTCTCGGATCTCGGGTTGTGGGCCCGCTGCTGTGTCAAGCTGGCGCTTCTACTAGGTCACTCTCGGTTGCTTCCACGTGTCGCGTGGCCAAGGGGTCGGGCCAAATCTCCCTCCATCAATTGCCCCCCACTCCCCGTGCCCGGGGTCCTGACCCGGCGTCGGGAGTTCACGGGATGACGGGTGGATTTGCCTCGTGACGCTTTGGCCTTGGTTTGGAACTTCTCCGGCCTGACCTGCTTGTCTTCTTGGCCCGATCAGGGTTGGCCTGGTTCGACCGGGGGTCAATCCTGGGTTGCGTGCAGCTCCTGCGCGGACGCCAAACGATTTTAAATTTTTGAACGTCAAAAACGCGCGCCAAACTGACTTCTCCTCGGGAGGCGTGCAGCCGGTTTTGCGGGGAGCCATTGGATGGTTTCGATCTTGGTCGTTGATGCGCGAGTACAGTGGCTATAAATAGTGGGGGGGCCCTGGTCACTTTCCTTCGCCATTCTTTAGCATTCGTTCCTTGAGCTCGCGTCCAAGGTTGTCAGCTCACGTCATCTTTCGTAGTCCGGTAGTTTTTCCTGGTGAGTCCTCAGCCTTCTTTTTGATCCAATGTCTAGCTCGGGTAGTTTAGATAGTCCTCTGGGGGGTCAAATGCTGGTTTTACGAACCGAGCTGCTGCCCCTAACAGCCTTAGTGAGTCCGGCGGGGCCCGAGGTAGAGCTCGAGGAAGAGCTCGAGCTCAAGCCCGTAGGCCGAGTCACCTTGGGTAACTTGGAATCCACCTCCCGTCGAGGTCAGGTGCCAGATAAGTTTGGGCCTTCCACTATGACGCCCGAGAGGCTTTGGTCCCTTATCGCTTAGTATAACCTGCCCGGGGAGTATACTTATATTTTACCCTCGGGCGACTTTCCTTGGGAGCACGGTCCGGACAAGATCGTGATATTCCAGGAGCAGATTGTTGTCGGGCTGCGCCTTCCTTTCCATCCCCTTATCGTCGAGGTCATGAATCACTTCGGCATTACTGTCGGTCAGCTCCACCCGAACTCCATTCGTAACCTTGTTGGGACCATCTCCCTTTGTTGCGAACACTGCCTTCCATTGGACTTGGAAATCTTTTCCGCCATTCTTATGCTTAAGAAGCAAGCGGGTCCCCTGCCCGGGCGTAGGTGGGCCTACTACTTGTCTCCTCGTCCGAGGTTCAAGCTTTTGCACGATCTTCCGAATAAGGTCCCGGCATGGAAGAGGGACTACTTCATGGTTCGAAGTGCTACGGGGTGGCCGTTTCCTACCGAGTGGGGATTGGTTGTTCCTGACCCCAGTGTCACGTTAGACGAAGATACGGTGAAGGGCCTCTAGGACTGGGCCCGACTTGGGCTCAAATGCGAAGTCTACTTAACGGAGGCCAAGCTTATTCAAGCTGGTCTGAGTTCGGGTAGGTTTCTTGCTCAAATGCAAAGTCTACTTTTGCTTTTGTTTTTATTATCGTCTTTTGACACCGAGCTCCTTTTTGCTGGGGAGCCCGAAGTGGCCCCTCCAGTTCAGGAAGCGGCAGGGTTCCCCTATGCCAATACTGCTTATACCCGGGCTGTGCCTTCAGGCTCGGGAAGTCACGATGAGCTACGCTCTCCAAAAAAGTAAGAAGGCTACTTGCCTTGAGGAGGTCGTGGCGTGGGCCGATCTTCCTACGAATCTCATAGTTGCGCGTGTTGCATCTCACGCCATGGTGGTAAGTCGAAGTAGTTTATTTTTACCGAGCTGATTTGTTCTCGTTTTGGCAGGTGAACTCCTCTATCCACGCTTTGGCAATCCAGGTGGAGAGGGGCTTGAAGCAAGCACAAGCTGCCGAAGAGGCTTCCCGCGCTGCGCGAGTCGAGTTGACGAGGTCTCGGAGGAAAAACGAGGCCTTAGGATTGGTGGTGAAACACATGGCGGACCTGAAGCTGGACCTGGAGCATCAGGTCGGGTATCTTCAGGATGATATCAGGGAGAAGACTGAGATCTTCTCTCAGGCTGTCGAGGAGGCGAAGGTGAAGGCTGTTAGTGATTACATCGCTTCGCCGCGCTTTGATGACATGATGGTGGGCTCGTACAAAAGGGGTTTCAAGTTGAGCCGATGGATGATAAGTAATACATACCACGAGCTCGACATTAGCGCCATAACCACTTCGTGCATCACTCCGGAAATGGCTGCCGCAGCTGATGATGACGCGGATTCTGAAGACGAAGCGGGACCTTCGGGTATTGTCGAAGTCCCTTCCGAAGAAGAGGAAGATGTACCCCCGGGCCTGTGAGGTCATCGCTGTTGTTTTTTGTTTTTTTGTTTTTTGGATAAAGTGTAAACAAGATTATTTTGCAATGAATAGTCCCCCTTTTTTGGCGAAGTGTTGGTCAGTCATTTTCTTTTTTCGCCGAGCTGACTATGTTGCCGAACTGCTAGACTTAGGCCCCGAGGCGAGTTAACATAGTAAGGCTATACGCCCGACCTGTTCTCCGCCCGGGTTAGTTAACATAAGCTGAATTGGGCCCTGGGCTATGCACCTCGGGATCCATACTCGTGCAGCTTGCTTCATTGATGAGGTGTCGAGGTCATCTTTAGCTCGGTATTCTGGCCCTTAGGCTCTGGTAGTGGCTCATGGTCTGCTTAGTTTGATCATTTATAGGTAAAATTGTCTTAAGTTGACGATGTTCCATGCCCAGGATATCTGTTTACCTTCCAGAGTCTCGAGCTCGTATGCCCCCCCAAATGCTCTCTTTACTCGGTAGGGTCCTTCTCAGTTCGGCCCGAGTTTGCCAACCTCGGGCTCAAGTACCATGACCTTGCGGAGAACCAGGTCGCCAACGCGGAAGTTTCGTCTCTTAACTTTGGATTTGTAGTATCGAGCTACCCTTTGTTGGTACGCTGTGGTCCTGATGTATGCGAGGTCCCTCATCTCGTCAAGTAGGTTGAGGTTGGTACGTAGCTCGTCGTTATTAGTATTGTCGCTGTATGCTTCCAACCGAAGTGAGGGGATTTCGATTTTGGCTGGGATGACTGCCTCCGTGTCATAGGTGAGGTTGAAGGGAGTTTCTCCGGTGGTGGTCTTCTCTGTAGTTCGGTATGCCCATAGGACGCTGGGC